CCCCATGGGAGACCAGGATAAGCACCTGGCTCCTGCCATCGGATCAGCGCGATGCGCCAGCCGCGGCGGCCATTGGAGGGTGAACCAACGGCAAAAGGAAGACCTTTCTCTCTGTCTCTCTCTCCCTCTCTCACTGTCCACTCTGCCTGTCAAAAAATAAATAAATAAATAAATAAATAAAAAATAAGAAATGAGTGGCCGGTGTTATGGCACAGAAGGTTAAGTTGCTGCTTGCAATGCTGGCAACCCGTACGAACGTGGTTTGAGTCCTGGCTGTTCTACGTCTGAGCAGCTTCCTGCTGCTGTCCCCAAGTGCTCGGACCCACGTAGGAGCCAGGGGTGCAGTACCAGCCTCCTGGCTTCTGCCTGGCCGAGCCCTAGCTGCTGTAAAAGAAATAGCGTTAACCTTTGGAGGGGAGGGCGTCTGGGACAGATCTTTTCCGGTGCTGAATCAAAGAATGAGAAATAAGCTAGGAGACAAGAGGCGATTCTGAACGCAGGAGGCACGGGCAGGTGGCACGGGAGGGAAGGGACCCTTTTCTAGGGCTTGTATTTGTGGGACCCCGGGCCCTTCTCTATGAGGACCTGGGGAATGGGAAAGGTCACACACACACCTTTGGGTTTGCTGACACGAGCTTTGTGAAACAAAGCAATCCTATCAACAAGACTGCAGGGGACAAGGGTTGCCACTTCCCTGCTGAGGCCGCCTCTGACCTCCACAGCCCCTGGGGCTGTCAGCCTGGTGTCCAGGACTCGCCCCGCCCCTTGCTGACCCCAGGAGGCAGGAAGCCCACGCTCTCCGGGCGTGCACCTGGCAGTAGGCACAGGCAAGCCAGCGCCGGGGAGCTGAGGCTGGACAGGGAGAAGCCAGGCGGCTGTTTGTGAATGAGTCAGCGCGTGGACACTTGTCACCACGCCCAGAGACTGAGGCAAAGGAGCAAGACGGGCAGCCATGCCTAGGACTTTCGGCTCAGAGTTCCAGGGCAGTGCAACCCCCTTCTGCCCACCCACGCACAGTCCCCCCATCTGACATAACCACACCGCTCGGCCGGGCCCCTCCTGCCGCCCAGAGGCCGGGCGCTCTCCGCTCTGCTGCTTTGGAAGGAGGACAGGTGTCTCACCTGTCCTGTCTAACCTGCCCGGCACCTTGTCCACGTGCTCGGGGTGACTGAAACTCTCTTCCTCTTTCAGTGGGAGCTGGAGGCAGAGCGGGGTGGGAAGAAAGAACAGTCACCTCGCTGCACCCTGGCTGTGGGCGGGGCTTACCAACATCCGGGAATTTAGGGAACCTGCAAGGGTCCTGGCCTGCGGGAGGAGAAGGGGGTGGGGGTGGCGAAGCTGCAGCCCCCCGCCCCCTCGCAGGTGGGGAGCCAAGGCCTCAGTGCACCAGTCTCGCCCTCCCCTGTATTGTGCAGCCCCCAGCCCCGACTGTGGGTGTGTACAGTGGGAGAAGACAGATTCTTTCTCCTGCACGTCAGGGTGTCTTGGGGACAAGGTGTTCAGGCCTGGAGGAGCCAGAAGCAAATACCAAGGTTCCGGCGGGACAGCAAGCCAGCTCGGAGGAGGCCCACCCTGGGCCGGCGCTCCTGACTGCCCACTCTTGGGTTAAATTTCCAAGTCCTGCCTTGAGGGAGCCCCACCTCCCTGGGTTAATCCCTCTCAGAGTCAGGTGGTGTCAGAAAGCAGGATCTGGAGTTCTCCCAGCCTACCAGCTGTGTGTTCACCAGCTCTACTTGAAACCCAAACCAGTGAGGTCACACGGGGCTCCCCCTCCCTCTTTGTCCTCTAAGCCGTGGCAAACAGGTGCTTCTTCTCACACTCAGCCTATGCAGGGTCCAGCCAGATGTCACTCCTTGCTGATTGAGTGGATAGTGACGTCTTATTTATTTCAGTACCAGCTCAGAGGGCTAAGGGGTGGGCAGATGGGGCAGCAGGCAGACAGTCCCCAGGTGAAAATGAATGCTGGTGTCCGGCCATGGCTTGCTGTACTGGTGGTTGCTGGGCTATTTCTGCACATACCTACCTTGCACTTGAGCTCAGCCTGTGTCGCTGCTCGAAAGTCTGGTTCACCTGGTCTAACCTTGTGGCGCCCCCTTAGCCTGATCGTAGCCCACCCGGGCTGTCTTAAGTCAGTGTCTGCATCCCGGGTCCTCTTACAATATCCTACATTGCAACCACAGTGGGGCACTGCTTCCCTCCAATCGTGACCCTGGCCCATACATTTGCTTAGGCTGTTCTGTTCTCCTGAAATACCATGCCCTGCGTCTCCTCCTCTGCCCATAAAATCATTTAGGGCTCAGAGTAGTGATTACGTCCTTCATAAAAATCCATCTGCTTAAAGAGAGCACCCTCTCCTCAGATCACCCAAAGTGGGAGCTACGGGTTAGCTTGGGTTGGAGTCACAGCTCCAGCTCTTGACTCCAGCTTCCTGCCAACACGGGCCCCTTGGGAGGCAGTGGTGACGGCCCCAGTAATTGGGTTTCTGCTGCGTAGGTGGGAGACCTAAGCTCAGTCCTGGCCATTGTAGGTATCTGGGAGTGAACCAGCAGGTGGCTCTCTGCTTCTCATCTTTCAAATAAACAATGAGTAAACACACCCAAAGCATTTTAAAATATTTTTAAAAGATTTATTTTATTTAGCTGAAAGGCAGAGTGACAGAAAGACACACACACATACACACACACACACAGAGATCTTATATCTGTTGGTTCACTCCCCAAATAGTTGCAATGGCCAAGGCTGGTCCAGGCTGAAGCCAGGAGTCAGGAACTCCATCTTGGTCTCCCATGTGGGTGCAGGGATCCAAGCACTTGGGCCATGATCCACTCCCTTCCTAGGCACGTGAGCAGGGAGCTGGGTTGGAAGTGGAACAGCCAGGACTTGAACCAGTGCTCCAGTATGGAATGTTGGCATTGCAAAGTGGTAGCTTAACCTTCTACACCACAACACCATCCGTGCAAAGCACTTTATTCATACAGTACTTTCTTTATAGCTTCATAGTGTGCCTTAGAACAGAGCCTTACCCATCACACCTAGCATATACCTGGCACAAAATAAGTTCTCAATACATCTTTATGGAAACGAATTGAGCCCCGAGGCTTAATGAGGTTACTGGATCATAAAGAGACAATGGCACTGAAGCAGCAGAATTGTGTTCGTCTTTCCTGCCCTGAACATGTCCACTGCCCTCTTTCCTTCTCCCTCCTTATCCCCGCTCAATATTTGCAACATCCTAAATAGGCCTTTCCCACACTATAGCAGCCCTCAGGTGCAAATCTGAGACAGAAAGGCTGCCTTCTAATTTCCTGCATGGTACAAGGAAATATTAAGTGCTCCTGCTGGCTGGAATAACCTGCAAACTCTTTAGCTCAGTAGCACTGCCCAAGGATCTGTGTACACCCAGGTTTCTGCTGGAGTCTGTGAACAGACAAGTTGTCAAGTGTTGGGGAGGGGCCAACATTGTGCCACCGCCTGCAACGCCGGCATCCCTCATGGCCACCGGTTCGAGTCATGGCTGCTCCACTTCCGATCCAGCTCCCTGCTAATGCATCCGGGCAGGCACCAAGTGCTTGGACCCTTGCTACCCATGTAGGAGACCCTGGTGGAGTTCCTGGCTCCTGACTTTGTCCTGGCCCAGCCGTGGCCATTGTAGCCATTTAGGGAGCTGGGCCAGGCTGAAGTTAGAAGCCAGGAGCTCGAGTGGGGGTCTCCCACGTGGGTGGCTGGGACCAACTGCCTCCCTGGGTGCATATCAGGAGGAAGCTGGGATAGGGAGCGGCTTCACCGCTACGGCCGTGCCCTGCTGTGAGTGAAGTCTGGCAAAGGCCTTGGCGGGCAGTGAGGGCAGAGAGGGTAGCCGGGGCAGCCAAGGGGAAATGAAGTGCAGGCCTGCACAGAGGGAGGTTATCTGGGCTACAGGCATGTTTGTTCTCGAGGCAGAGATAGGGTGGGGCCCTAAGAGGAATGCCTTGAAATCCTCACGAGGCTAAAGCTAAGGCAGCTGGTGGCCAGGCGGCACGTCCAGCAAGTTAGTGACCACACCTGCAGATCCCGGCCACCAGGCAGGAAACTAGTGGCAGCCCAAGACCGGGGTTCTGAGGGACCTGGAAGAAGCCGGGGAGTCAGCTCTCAGCTCTGCTCCCCAATTCCGGCCTCTCCCTAGCTGTGACGCTGCAAGACCTTCCTACTATGTGGCCCACAGTTGAACGGCTGGGCCTTTGAACTAGGACCTGAGAAATGCAAGGGAAGCTGCCGATCCAACAGACATTGGGACAGGGCCGAGCCGGAGCTCTCTGCGGGAGAACCGCTGAAGGCGGCGCACGGAAGGGCTCTGGTCTCCATGTTTGGTTTGGCAACCCCACACTCAGTTCCTCCTTTCCTCCCTCTTCCTAACCCAGCCTCACCTTGGGGGCGGAGGGGACTCCCCAGACTTCCCGCCCCGCCCCACCCCAGCCCTCCTCAGGCCCTCACAAGATCCCCCCTTCTCCTGGGCCCCCCTGCACCCTCCCACCCTCCCCCGCAGCAAAGCACGCGCGGCTGAAGCAGGAAGCGCAGTGAATGGGACACCGCCAGTCACAGCTTATGGACAACTGAACACGCCCCGGGCACCCAGCTCAGAGCCTTAATCCCTAGTGTTGTGTGTGTGTGTGTGTGTTTTTTTTTTTCCAAACAGCAGTCCTACAGAGGTGATTGTTTACTTCCTTTTACAGGTGGAGACACGGAGGCACATTAGGTAATCTGCGCAAGCCCACCCCCGCCCCGCCCCGCCCCGCCCCGCCCGTCGGTCTCCCTCCCACCGCAGCGGTTTGGCCAGCTCTGCTGGGGCCGTGCGACCTTGGCCACTGAGGGGCCCAGTCCCCTCTTCGGGGCCCCCGGAGCCGCGCAGGCCGGCCGGGAGCCCGCAGGTGCAGCGCCCGGGGGCGGGTCGGAGAGGGGGCGTGGCCGGACAGGGGCGTACCCGGGGGCGTGTCGCTGAGGGGGCTCACCCGGGGGCGTGGCCGGAAGCCTCAAAGTGCCCGGGCGGCGGGGCGAGCCGCAGAGAGCCGCTCGGCCGGGCCCCCGCGTTGTCACCATGTCCCTGGCGGCCTCGGCGGGCCGGGGCCCGGGGGCCTTGTGGTCCCCGACCCACGTGCAGGTCACGGTGCTACAGGCACGAGGTCTGCGGGCCAAGGGCCCCGGGGGCACTAGCGACGCGTACGCGGTGATCCAGGTGGGCAAGGAGAAGTACGCCACGTCGGTGTCCGAGCGCAGCCTGGGCGCGCCCGTGTGGCGCGAGGAGGCCACCTTCGAGCTGCCGCCGCTGCTGGCTTCCGGAGCGGCGCCCGCGGCCGCCGCCACCCTGCAGCTCACCGTGCTGCACCGCGCGCTGCTCGGCCTCGACAAGTTCCTGGGCCGCGCCGAGGTGGACCTGCGGGAGCTGCACCGGGACCAGGGCCGCCGCAAGACGCAGTGAGTGCGGGCCTGGCGGGGGAGCTTACCGAGCGGACCCTTGGCCCGCTTCGGCCGATCGTTGGATTCTCGCCTCTTCCAGTCCCGTGCGGCTGTCCCGCCCTGGCGCCCCCAGTCCGGGGGCCCCGGTGAGAGCAGGGCCGGCGCGCCCGGCCCACGGTAGCACCAAGGCAGCCTTCGATGAGACGAAACTGTGGGGGCAGACGCGGACTCGCGCTGGCCCACGGGGAAGACCTCCTGAGCGGCGGGGGCCAGGACCCCCGGCCCTAGAATCGAATCCAGAGTGGGCCGGGCGGGGAATGGGGAATGCACCCCGGCTTGGCGGATCCCACGCCCACTCCGCACCTGCCCAGGGAGCTGTTGTGCAGGGTTTGGCCCCGCAGCTGGAAGGCTACAACAATTTGCTCTTTGCCCTGGGATTCCCAAGAGATGGGTGGCTCCCAGGCCCGCCCCGGCTGATTAGAAGCCAGCTTTGCTTCTCACTGGAGTTTGTCGAGTTCTTCTTTGTGGGCCTGTTGGTGGATGGCTGCTCCCCTGTGTGGGGCAGCAGGTTCTGTCCGGGTCAGGGAAACCTGGAGAAAACCCCCATACACTCCAAGACGTTACCGGTGAACTTGATCTCTTTCCCAGGTGTTTGGAAGGGCAGTGCTTAACCGAATGGAACTTTTGGTTTTGTCCTGAGACCAGGCCCAGCCTTGATTAGATTCACTTCCGCCCGCTACCTCCCCCGACTCTGACTGTGCAAGCGCGTTGCTACTCGAACCCTAGGGTTTAGGAAGCTCCTGATTCCCTGAGCGTAGTTTAGATCTTCAGAGAGAGTTCTGGTTTTCCCACATGGGGGAGGCAGGAGACGCCGGAGGGTGTAGCTGCCCGGCTGCCTTCACTGTCGGCTGGCTGGGGTCGCAGTCCCGGATTCGCTCTTCTGAGTAGGGAATTCTGGGCTTCAGTCAGATAGCCAGCCTTGGCGTGAGTGTGGATGGAGCACCTTGCAGGCCATAAGGTGAGCAGCGCCTCGCCAAGGAAGGGCCCGAGCGATGGCAGCTCTCCATCCCGCCGGGGCCTTGGGTTGTTGGCTGTTGGCCAAACTTGGTCTTGCCCCATCCCGGGGTGTGTGGCTATGCACTTCCGTGTCTGCTGTGTCTCAGGGGAGTGCTGTGTGCCCTTGAGACGCAGGTGGATGTGGAGGGGGACTCTGGAGTCTCATGTCCGGTGTCCACTGTGGCTCTGACTCATTGTGTGGGGTTGCTCCATCTCGAGACACCCAAGTTTCCCTGTTTCTCAATGGGGCAGGGTTGCCACACGTAATTGATGTTTGCAGGCTGCATGGGCTCCTAGGGTCATGGGGGCTGGGCGTGGATTCAGAAGGCTCTGTGGCTGCTTGGTGAGAGGTGAAACCCCCTGCAAGCTCTTTGTCAGGGAGGGCTCAGTCTGCATCTGCGTGTCCCTCACCTTCTCCAGTGGGACCCTGAGGCTAGACGGTTATTGCTGGCTTGCCCGGGAGCCGATCGCCGCTCCAGCACTCCCACCTTGTAGAAGGGTGCTTAGCTGATGTTTCCTTGTAGCTGGAGCAAGGCTCCTTGGGTCCTCCGGGTAGACTTAACGGCTGGCTCCCCACCTTGCTCCCTGGGACTTGCCAAGGTGTGGGGTTGAGAGGGAGCGCCCAGTTAGACAGAGCCTGTGGGGTGTCCTGCCGTATCCCCGGGACAGCTCAGACTGAGACTGAGACAGCCCTGAGAAGCAGAAGTTTCCATGAAAGACACGGGCTGGGCTGGGCAAGTCACTGAAACTAGTTGTTAATGGTTTCACTCCCCTCTTAGATCTTATAAAAAACCAGAAACAAAACAAGCTAAAATCTTGGTGTGTAGATCATGTGCCTGTCTTTTTTTTTTTTTTAATATTTATTTATTTATTTGAAAGTCAGAGTTATGCTGAGAGAGAGAGAGAGAGAGAGAGAGGCCTTCCATCTGATGGTTCACTCCCCAATTGGCCGCAGTGGCTGGAGCTGCGCCAATCCGAAGCCAGGAGCCAGGAGCTTCTTCCAGGTCTCCCACGTGGGTGCAGGGGCCCAAGGACTTGGGCCATCTTCTACTGCTTTCCTAGGCCACAGCAGAGAGCTGGATGGGAAGTGGGGCAGCCGGGACTAGAACTGGCGCCCATATGGAATGCCGGTGCTTCAGGCCAGGGCGTTAACCCACTGCACCACAGCGCGGCCCCATGCCTGTGTCTCAATCTCTAGGGAAGAAGAGTTGCTGTCACAGAACGTGACTTCCCTGTGATCCACAGGCTGGAACGCCAGGCAGGAAGGGCCTCCTGCACTGAGAGCGCCTCTTGTTTTCTCCCAAGCTCCCACCTACTGTATTTACTTGGAGCCATGAGAATGTACTTTTTATCAAGACTCAGGACTCCCCGACTTCAGTTTTAGTGTGATGACACACACCTTTCAAACACCATCGGGAAGAGGGTGTGGCCCTTCTGTATAGGGAAAGAGGAAATGAATTGGTACCGGGGCTTACACATCTGTTCCAGCCCTGGGGTTTCAGTGGGCCTTGGTTAAATGAGAATGAGTTGGTACCGTGATCACAAACAGACGAGGGAGAACCAGTGACCCACCGACACCTTTGTTGGATCCCAAGAGCAACACACTGGGGAACTGGGCTCTTCAGGACAGATTAAAGTATGTGTCCAGCCTGGTTGACGGGAAGGCTAATTGTAACTGAATATGGTGACACTTAATATGGTGACAGTCCCGGTGGAGAGACTGAGGGAGGGAGGGAGGGTCATTTTCTTGCAGCTAGTGAATTCAGGTACATACGACAGGGTTCGCATGTCATCAGCAGGTTAGGTATTTTGGAGAGCTGTAATTGTAAGCGGAGGCTGGGATATATTGATGGAAAGCCGAGTCAGGAAAATGTAAGGGCTTTGTTTGTCTTGGAGAGTTACTCTTGCTGAGCACTGACTTCTGTGACTGGAACAGTCTAGCTCACAGACTGTCAGCAAGCGGCGTTCACCTGCTGGCTGCCTCAGCACACTTGGGTTTCTTCTGTTGGTAGCGAGCTGGAAAATCTGAGCGATGTTGTGACGGTGCAGTGTTTTCTTTCTTGGAGTTTCCCTTCGAGATAACACTGGGCCTTATTGGAAACCCTGCCGCATCTCCCGGAGACACAGTCCCCTCCCACGCCAGCGTGGGAGACGCACGGCTCAGGGCTCGAGACGGGCTGCTCTGGAATAAACAGCCTTGACCTGCTTAGAGCAACAGAGCGAAATGAGTAAACCCGGGAGTGACGTCAGAGCCGCTCAGGTGGCGGGCAAGAGGCGCCGTGGTTTTGGATGACATTAATTATGATTTCCTTTGTCAAGCAGTTAGCATGGAGAAAGCCTGCTTTCCCCCTTCTCGTCCCTCAAGTTCGTGCCTTCTTTTAGTAAACTTTTTTTTTCTAAAGATTTATTTTATTTATTTGAAAGACAGTTACAGAGAGAAAGGTAGAGTCAGAGAGAGAGGCCTTCCATTCTGCTGGTTCACTTCCCAAATGACCACAAAGGCCAGAGCTGAGCTGATCAGGAGCCAGGAGCTCCTTCCGGGTCTCCCATGCAGGTACAGGGGCCCAAGGACTTGAGCCATCTTCTACTGCTTTCCCAGGCCATAGCAGAGAGCTGGATCGGAAGAGGAGCAGCCGGAACTCAAACCGGCACCGATATGGGATACCGGCACTGCAGAATGGGGCTTTAACCCACTGTGCCACAGCACCAGCCCCTTAGTATGTGTTTCTTAGCACCTCCTCTGTGCCAGGTGCTGGCCATTCAGCGTACGCAATGGCGAACAGGACAGGCCTGAGCCCTGCTTTCAGGAAGCTCAGAGCCTTGGGGGGTGGGGGCCGTGTGAAACCAGCACAGAAATAAATAACCATTTATCGTGCTGAGTACTGTGGAGCAAGAAAACAGGGCATCACAAAAGCAAAGAGTAGGAAGGACGCGATTAGAAGAAAGAGATTGCGGATAGCCCTCCCACCGCAGAGGGCTGAGGAAGGCAGAGGAATCTCTTTGGTACAGAGCAGAGGGACACAACCGGATGGAGCAGGAGCAGCCTGTGCAAAGGCCCTGTGGTAGCCACCCTGTGTACAATAAGGCCTAACAGGAAGTTGTGTTTTTATTTCAGAGGAATAGTAAGTCACCAAGTGTTAAAAGCCCAGGAGAGGCGTGATCCGATTTGTTTGTCAAAGACGACTGTGATCATTGGGGTGGAGAACAGATTGGAACCCGGCCTCGCCTGGGATCAGACCAACTGAGCGCTGTCTTGGTAGTCCTGGAGGCGGACGTGATGGCTGGGGAGAGGGAAAGGCGTGGGTGGGTTTCGGAGAGAAATCTGGAGGTTCACTGTGATGGATTGGATGATGGACAGGAAGTGACCAATGAAATAAGAAAGCCTGGTGTTGACAGTGAACCAGGAAACGCAGCTGCTTTGTTCCCCAGCGGTCACCGTGAGACCAGGGTGAGGTCACCATTACACAGGCAGGCTGGGCAGTGGCACCCGTGTTGGCCAATGACTAGGAAACACGGCTGAGACAGGGTGTGCCTGTAAGTGGCTTCAAGGACGTATGTTTCAATACAGGCCGGCCTTTGTTTTGTTGTAATGGCATGGCTGACATAATTTCACGTAGGGGTTTTAGCACAGTTGATGAAGTCACAGGACTAAGAAAAGGAAAACAAGTAATAGACTAAGATGCGCACATCTCGTAACTTTTCAGGCCCCGGTATTGTGGTGCAGTGCGTAAAGCTGCCTCCTGCAGTGCTGGCACCCCTGTGGGCAGCGGTTCAAGTTCGGCTGCTCCACTTCCCATCCAGCTCCCTGCTAACGCACCTGGGAAAGCAGCAGAAGATGGCCCTAGTGTTTGGGCCCCTGCACTCACTTGGGAGGCCGGATGAAGCTCCTGGCTTTGGCCTGGCCCAGCCCTGGCCATTGCAGTCACTTGGGGGAATAAACCAGTACATGGAAGATCTGTCTC